TCAGTTCTGATGATCAGGATGCCCTAGCTCTGAACACAGATGCTGCCAACAAAAAGATGGAAGGTTCTTTTTTGGAGATAGTACATACAGATCAACTTTCAAATTAGTGTTACTCTTTAGAAAACTATCACTTTTCTAGTAGTCTGTTAACTGAGAAAAGAAAATGAAATTCAGCTACTTGGTGCTGGGGCCGGTGGGGAGGCTAAACAGAAAGTCCTTAAGAGTGAATGGTCCCCAATTCTAAGGTGCTAGGTGGTCCAAAAATGACGACTCCATCCTCATACCTTCTGTTTTTCCCTTTCCTCCTTCCTCTTCCATCCACTGCTTTCTTTCTCACATCAAGTGCCTTATACATGCCTAATGCCAAAATGTAAGCTCCCTGAGGGGAGGGATCACATTCTTTTGGTTCACTCCTACACCCTCTGTGTCTAGGCATGTAGCAGCCTGGCACAAAATAAATGCCAAAATAAGTATATAAATATTTATTGAGCACCACAAGAGGGAGAGAGCAAACTGCTAGGTGCTGGGGCCCCAGAGGATGTCTAACATAGAGACTTCGTTCTGATTGGGAAAATGTACTTGTGTACCATTTAGAAGCAGTTCTAAACAAACAAACAAAAACAGGTTTCTTATATGTCTTAACTTAGTGACTAAGAGAAGCTGTTTCACCTAGTCTACTGATTTTGAAAAATCCACATGAAATGAAGAAAGATGAACCCCCAGGTTTACATCCAAGCAATTTACTTCCCGTGTGACACTATTTTGAGGCCACACATTCTTAAAGAAAAAGGAGGAGGGGAGGGAGGAATGGTTTTATCTTCGCTGACTGATGAGCTTCTCTGGATAATCGTTAAACAGAGACGTCATGCCTTCTGCCAAGGAAGTGGTTCAGTGTAACATGCTTAGGTTCGCTGTGTCTTGTTACATGTATTTCCTCGCTGAGAAATACAAGGTCAAGCTGCTCAGATCTTATGGTAAACTGAAGGGGTCTGGGAGCCAGACGTCAATTTTTTGTTTTCTTAAGTGTATCACAAGCATTGCAAACAACTTCCGCACCCAGTAGCCCCAGGAAAGGATGCTGGATGATGTTCCTTACCACTGATGAGTAATTTTCATCATATTTAAATGAACTATAAATGACATTTAATTCATAACTTCCCCAAACAACTCTCTTCATCCCCTTCTGAAATTTAGTTTTTATTTCACTAACCTGATGACGTGTAAAAAAAAAGTCAATTTTGCCTTTCCAAAAAAAAAAGTTGAGTAAGTTACCCTTGTGAACTGCTCTTCAATATTAAGGCAATGACATTTTTTTCCCCTTTATACAGGTTTTACCTTTTATTGTGACATTCCTCTTTCTACATGAAGACGCAGAAAAATCACACAAAATAGAAAAACTATCCTGCGTTTTCCTGGCTTAAACCACACAGTGATTTTGGGAGAACAAGAAGCCTTCAAAAGTCATCTCTTTTTTCATTACAAATTTGTCTAGATTGGTATTCAGAACATGATTTTCGTGTGTACAAGATTTTACTATTCTTTAACAAAAGCAGGGAGCAGGGAAGACCCTGAGAAAGACCCAGCTGCGGCCTCTTGGAGGCGTGGTGTTCTCAGCCAACAAGGCAGATGCTACTGCCGGGCACCCGGTGTGCTCAGGGGGCCTGACCCCAGGAGCTGCCTCCATGGTTTGCTGTCCCAGATCAAGCTCCATCTGTGTCCATATCTGTATTCTTTTTAGGTTGATTCCAAACCTACTGAAAACAAGCTGCACTCTGTCAAAATGGTTCCAATTCTTCTACCACTAACTCTTCTGTAAAACCAAAATATTTTCATAATATTAATGACCAGTACATTGGCCAAACACTTCATGCCACATTGTCAATCAATTTAAACAGGCCGGTTCCTCTCAATCTGTGTCGTTCAAGTATGTTTTCAGAACACACTAAAAATGAACACTATGTGTCACTTGGTAAGAAAATTTCTTCAATTTGAGATTCAGTTTGACTTGAACAGATTCAGGTATGTTGACAGTCAGGGAAGCAACTCTAATTTTATTTTCCATAATGTTCACTTTTCAAAGCAATTCTAAAACTAACCCAAAAGAATTTAAGAATCTTTAAAATTTGGTTATTGTACTGTTTTTCCTTTTTTTTTCTCATCAAGACTGCTCTTTGTGTTCCAAATATTCTGTGTAAACTTTTTCCTCAAAATTAATGTTTTTTATTCACTAATGTTTTTTAATCACTAAAGTTCCTGTTTGTAATCACTGATCTGTGTCTTGATCAAACATTTATAAAAGATGACACTTTAAGGCACTAAAATCATGCCCTCTGAATTAAGTGCTTTTGCTGTTATTGGGAACTCACCATGAAATAAACAGAAGTAGATGCATTTGCCTATTTGCGAATAAACATTTTTATCAAGTACAACTGTGGCAGAAAACTGAACTGATTTGTGGAAGCCACTGGGACATTTATATAACTTTGAGATACTGGCTTCTCACATGAGACAGCACACATCTCTGTGCACTTACCCAGAAAGACCATGTTCCAGCCGCCGGCCTGACGGGCTTGCACTGACTTCAGGACGGGCAGTATTTGTATGAATTCTCTTCCCTGCACCCATCCTGTTCACTAAAGCAAGCTGATTCTGGTGAACATGAAGTCTCAAAGTTTCTAATCATTCACTCACAAAATAATTTTCTAGTCTTTTTCATGGAAAAATTTGAGTTTTGATGGCATGCAAAGTAGCTTCTACCTATTAGTGGCAAAACCTTTGAAGACTGCCAGAATGAGAACTCTGAGTAAACCGGTACTCCAGCAAGATGCAGAATGCGGCCACGTGGCTCCAGCTCCTCTGCTGAAATTTCAGGTGGCAGAGTGGCAAAGTGTGAGGTAAGTGTCAAGTCCCCTGTTAGCAGAGTTCTCATGAAATAAAACTATCCAGACACTTTTGAAATCATCTTTATTTTGGCTGCAAAGATACAGTTTACTTGGTTACTTAATATTTTATTTGTTCCCATTTGAAGTCTCATAGCTTGCCATGTAAAACACTGCCTTCACTATCAAACTGCTATATAAGAACATTATAAAATACAAACTATAAACTAAGATAATCTTCTTTACAATATTCAGATTAGTGCATTAAAACAACACTGATTAAAAAAAGGCAAGTGAGTTAATTGGCAAACTTCCCATTCCGTTTTTGGTGAAGGATGGTACAAAATGGTACGTAAGGGAAACACAGAATTTTAAGTGTTAGGTGCTCAAAAACAGTAACTGTGGGAAAGTTACTTCCCCAAAGTAATTTTGATCCAAGGATACAAATGTAGCCATTACTCTAGAGGACATAAGGGAAGATAATTAATTTTCCAACAGCTGTGGACATACACAGCTGAGTAACAAGTTGGGATGTTTAGAATTCTAACACAATAGGTATTGATTTATCATACTCTTCTTCCAAATTACATTAAACATTTATAGTGACTACACAATCCCCAGTAAAAGAACATCAGACTTAAACAGAGCCCATGGAAAAACAACCTATCCTTAGCATTTTACTAGGCAATCTACAGCCAATGCTTAATATATATACATTAGGAGTGTGAGACACACTGGGAATTTATTCACTGATTTCATTCAGAGTTAATAAAGAGTCTTTAAGAGAAAAACAACAATAAAAGTTAAATAGATAATTTGTGCTGCTGTGAACCAGGGGAAAAAAAAAAACAAACAACCAAACACAAACATATATGTTAATTTTTTTAAGTTATTGAGAATTTCTCTGCTGGCCCAAATCAAAATTAGAGATTTGAAACTGAAGTAACACAAATGTGGGTGCATGTTACACTGCGACAGAGAGAGAGAGAGAGGCACACAGAACACACACACCTTTAAATTTACGAATTCCAAAAACTAAGTCAATGGGATAAATAAATTATAAATGAAAGGCATATACAACGTGGACAAAAACCTAACAGTTGCTAGGTCGAAAAGCATGAAAATTATGCCAGCAGTGACATTTAGAAAAAATTTTCAGTATTAGAAAATATCAGATTTAATCCAAAGAAAACTAACCCCCTCAAATAAAAATAACAAAGTATGGGAACCATCCTTTATGCAACAACTTTAAAATAATAATAAAAAAAATCCACCATGATTAAAGGAATCTTCCTACATAATTTACATAATGTAGTGCATGAGTGTGCTCCTTTATAATCTTAGCCTTTCACTCCCCATATGATGAGACCGATAATTATAACTCCGATAACAAGGATAAAAATGATGATGCACAGGGTTTTTCTGGATTTGCGCTGCAGATGCAAAAACAAAAAAACATGTTTATCGATGTAGTGGAGCATCTCTATAACAAGTGAAAATCATCTGGTTCATTCCTAGAGTAAAATCAATAGTACTTTATTGTCCTCAAATTTTTGGCTGTATTTTTTGCTTCTCAAAAATCTCTTCAATACATATATAGCACTGTTTTCAAAAAAATATTCTTGAATTAATGGTATAATTCACAGGGTAACTATTCAACTTTTGTTGGTAATTTTTCTGGGTGTGTGGTTGGGCTTAAAAAAGAAGACACAGAAAAATAAAATTTACTGACTCAAGCAACTGACAGAGTTTAGTTATGTATGAAAACAAAACAAAAAAAACCAGCTTAAAAACCTATTGATTCTTCAGCTTTAATCATAAAATTGCTCTTCAAAATGGGTTCTCTGAAAATATCAGCAAGTGTAAATGTTTGTTAATTTTTCCAAAAGTAGATTTATTAGTTCCCCAAATCATCCCTGTCCCTTAATGTAACAGAAACTGCATTCGAAATCTCAACACACAAGTCAAAAACAAAGAGCTAAAAAAATTCTAATAGTCTTTTAAAATATGAAAGTTAAGAGTTTTGCTCCATTCTTCATTGTTGCAGATTTCTATATTTCGCTAATGGCTTGTGTATCTCACAGCAACATGCAGGAATCCTTTTTCTTACAAAGTAGAAAAATTTGTAAATTTACTTAGTGACAACTAGAAGGAGCATAAAACTTACAAAAAAAAACCATGCTTTTGACTCTGAAATCATCCTGAAAACTATTCATACTTTTCAATACTCCACAGTCATCTAAGGTTTCAAATGCACACTCCGCACATATTAAACACAATTCCTCTCCTATTTCAATCTCTTCACGCCCACGTTATTTTCCCAACTAGTTACTGCACATGTACGTGTCAAGTGCCTTCATTAACAATGACAGCTTATCTTTTTTGCCTGCGGCGCCCTCCCCAGTGGGGGAAAGTGAGGCCCTGGGATGCCATGGTGATAAAAGCATTTACTACCTTCCTTTGTGATCACGGTTCACCCAAACTATTCAGAGGCATGTAGTTTGCAGAGGTGTAAGTTAATCAAGGCCACCAAGTGGGACTTTTGGGAAGCTGTTCTCTTCCCAGCAACTGGGTTGCACGGCTCTTTCCTCATCCCTCCAGGGCCTGTGGGATTAAGGATGGGGGCAGCTCTAGCTCTGGAGGTCCCGCTTGGGAAGATGTGTTCCTTTTCCCCAGCATGGCTGTAGGCTTTCCCTTCCACAAGGAAGAGGAAAAGTAAAACTTGGGGATGTATCTACATCCCTCTAAAATCCAAAAGCAAAACGAAGTTACATAGATGCCCAGTCACTGATGAATCCTGCTAACACTATGTCTGGGCAGCTGTAACTGCTGGCATTTAGAGACGTGTGTGTGTGTGTGCGTGTGTGCGTGCATGTGTGCGTGTGTATTCAACTCTCATGAGTGCTACCTACAGTCTATGACATGGTGACATTAAGTCTGCTGAGCTGCGTATCTGAATCTCACACACAAAGATGGCAAACATGAGATACTCTGTCAGTGAGTACGATGGCTGTAACTCAGCATTCTCTGTACGGCTTCACCGTTCTTAATATATCACTGAATATGCACTGATTTGTCCAGTGAAAAAGTGGCACTGAAACTAAAGGCCATTTCTACAGTTAGTGAGACAAGTGAACAGTAATTGAAAATACCTAGGATAGTGATAATATCTTAGGTATTTTATAAGAAGGTAACAAGGATCTGAGAAAATAATTATTAACAACAGCAAAAAAATTAAGTTTTAAAAGGGAACTCTAATGCTAGGGTCATATTTAAGGGTTCCCTAAAAGGCTGCCCTTATCTTTGTTAAACAACAAAGGTTTACATATTAAATGATGCATTAATAGTTTATGGTCCTAATATTTGTAGTGCTTTATACATCTTTATATTTGACTCATATACATGGATTCCCTGTATTAACATGATTCACTTAAGAAATCAGTTCATTCCCAGTGAAGGGTCTGCTGAATGCTGACAGAACAGTCCAAGCTAATAAAATTTCTATAGGACCTGAAGAGATCTTTCTAGAACAAAGATCATTGCCTCTTTGGTCCTGAGTATCACTGACAAAAAAGAAAGGTAGAAGGGAACGACAAGAAACAGAGGGAAACTGCTGTCAAGAGGCTTCCGGGTGGAATGTCAAAACGACATGGGAGACCAGCAGCTGTCAGAGAAGACTGGAGTTGTGTGACGCTTCCCCCAAGACTCTGAACACTGAAATTCCTCTCTCTGTGGCTCTCAAGACTGGTTCAACCCTGAGAACAGACAGGCTAAACCCAGTTTTAAGATGACTGGCATATTTCTAACCTATCTTCCATGGGATTTTAAATTTTAACACATCTCCAGCGTCTTTAAACCTGACTGCACACACGCGCGCGCGCGCGCACACGCACGCACAGTTCATAGTCTAAGTGATAAGACCGTTTAGCACAGTCAGTACTACCTGATGATCGGCCGCCCTTGACAGCTGCTGGTTTGCTTGCTGAACGTGCACCTCTGCATTTTCCACGTTGGCTTCTATGCTGTCTGTAAAGCAAAACACACACAAAACTGTCAAACAGGTGCTGATGCTCCAGTAACAGAGCTGCACAAATCACTAGATTTTAGTTCCAGGTAAGATTAAACATGTTCACTATTCAAAGGCTAATATTAATAGTATATGGGCAAGGCTGAATTTTTTTTTTTAGCTCTACTGTTTCTCAGGTGATTCAAATAATATGTAACAACTTAAAGAACAGAAACTTGACCACCTTCATTACAGTGCACTCCAGTTCTTCCTGGCAGCCGTAAAAAGTACCGTCACAGCGTTTGCACTGTGCGACAGCCAACTCGGTACGAAGTGTCTGAACTGTTACTCAGGGTAAACACAGAGAACGGAAACCCGGCATCTGCTCGGTAGCCAGCATCAACCCGCTTCTGGGCTGAAACCTAGCCTCCCTGAGGGCCCCTGCAGCCTTCTCAAGCGGACAGTTTTCCTTCCCACCCTCCTCTGACCTGGGGGCTGGAACGGGTGTCCCCTGCAGCAGCCAGTCTCCTCTCCCCCGCTGACTCTGCGTTTTAGAGCTCGTGCTGCCCCGGCTGCAGACATCTAGAGACCTCTCAGTCTTTTCTTCTCACTCCGTGACCATTTAGCCCCTGATGTTCTCTTCAGTGCTTCTCCTATTATACATACTGGCAATTTCAACATCCAATTGCTGACCCTCTAATTCCCCGGCCTCTCAATTCCTTGAGCACACGTTTTTCGACTTTGCCTGTGACCCTTTCTCAGCCACCCACCTCCATGGTCACATCCCAAATCTATCATCATCTGTAACTGCCGCTCTCCATAACCTCAATTCCAGGTCTCACCCTCTGATCACCACCTGCGATCTTCAGAGGGCACTCCCTCTAAGGCCCCCACTTGTGTGATCCTACAATTTTCTCACCACCTGTCACATACTTCATGTCCTCACTTCCCTCTTCCTAGCATAGACTCCAACGGGCACTCATCTGTAGTTGCTTTCTTGCATTTGTCCTCAGCTCCCTCGCCCCCTACTGTAGTCATGCTTATGTGACAAAACCCCAACTTGATCCCTGCAGCTGAGCGTGGATGAAAAAAAGAATCATCTGTGCTGACTTATTTCCCTTTAAATTCAGGACTGAGCACGCTTGCCTTATTTCCCTAACTCGCGGAAAAGTAAGTCATGCTTTCTCTTCTCACCTTAAGTCTTAGGCACTAATATTTTTTAAAGAATTTTTTAAAAAAGGATCCTCAGTATTTAAGTAATACTACTAAATTAATCTACCCCCAAAAGCTATAAGAATGAAAGATTAGGCAAATGGCTACCTATTCCCTCTAGTCTAAAAAGCAAGACAGCGTGTACAATTACAAACAGAAATTTCCCCAAAGTCCTTGGTGTGATGATAATTAAATTGGGTAAGACGGAAACCAGAGGTCCTGGAAATAAGCTAGAATGATGTTACATGGTACCTTCCATGATCTCAGCAGCAGTAGACCCTGATTAAATTTGGGACTTCTTAAATAAATGAAGCTGGTCATTTCAACCAGTAGGAGCCAAAACAGAGATCTGTTTTAGATAACGCGAAGGGTGATGTTTTGTCTGTTGTAGAGACGGTGCTTCTGATTCCAGAAGGACCGAAAGAGAGAGGAAGGAGTTACTCTGGCTTGAGAAGTTACCACAGGTAAACTGCATATAGCTTGCTCCCACCTCATGAAATCTAATGAGTAGGGCTTACCTATTACATCTCCTTGCTCATGAATCATCATTCCCAAATCTTTAAATATTTCATTAATATCCATAATATCAGCCTAAAAGAAAAAAATCACATTATTATTATAATCAGAAATTCAGTTTCCAATCCACAAAACGGGAAAATTGAAAAAACCCAAACCACCACTCATACATAGGTGAGCATGCATCTGGACTTAATAACACACATTTTGGGAATATCAGGAGACTATTTTACTATAGGCAATCCCATAGAAGTAGACTTTGAATAACAGTAACCAGTGCTCTAAAATAAGCTTGTGATGCTAAAAACGTCAAGGGAGTCAGGATGGAAATGAAGGATCTAGAGAAGTGCCATGGGTTCACTGAATTTACGTCATGCGCTCTGATCAGTTTTATAATCACAAGCAGTATTCCCTCACAAAAGTACGAAATATTGTATTTCTAGTAAAAACTTACTTGCCAATTTGACAATTAAAGGAATAAAATATTAGGTGTAAAATCAAAGTCTCACATTAGTAAGTTTGAATATGCAATGGAATAGTGATGAATAAGTAAGTTATAAATTTACTTTTCTTCAATATATGGTAACTATTTTTTTGTGTGATTAGAGAGTAAAGTTTAAATACTTTATTTAGGAGGAGTTGGGCGATTTACAGATTCATCCTATGTCTTAGCTTCCCCATGTGTAAAATGACAGTGATAACAACACGATTGCTTACTTCAGAGTTTTTATGAGAAATGAGACAACGTACAAAGAATTTATCACACAGTGCTTGGTGTGTGGAGCCCCTGATAAATGGTAGCTATCGTTAGCTACTATTAGCCCACTTTCTAGGGATCAGGTAGGTTCCCTAAGTACTAAGGCTACTAAACCTTTTAGATCTCTTTGATCTCCTACACATACTAACGGGCAATAAAATACTTTTTAAAGACCTTGTAAAAAGTCTTATTTATGCAGGTGTGACGTGTATCACATGCCAACGAAGCCATCCAGACTTTCTGAATAGACATTTATCTCTAGATGGGTATTTTCTCAATGCTCAGGTGCCTTGAGATGACTTAATAGAATTAAAAAAAAAAAAGTTGGAGTAGAGAGAAGTATATTTTCTCATCTTAGCACACATTCTAAAGAGATTATTGTCTTTTTTTAAAGGAATGATTCTAATTTATATGAGAAATGCCACCAAATTGATATACTTATTTAGTTTTCTTTCTCGACCCCTCTCCCAGCATTATCTAAGCATCGTGAGGACAAACTCACTAAGAACAGAGCAGTGGTTCAACTCTACAATGTAAAGCTTACTTCAAGTTGCCTAATGGAAGACTCTCTCTCCTGAATAAGGCGGAGGTCATCCTCTGTAATTTCCTCATCCTGCACCTGCACTTGAGGTTGAGTTTGGCTGTTAAAAACAAGAGAATATGGAAAAAAGAAAGATGAGTACGAAAATAATGGGACGTCCTTCCTCTTTAAGAAATATTTATTAAACAGAATATTTGTTCTTCAAAGTCAGAGAATTACTTACTTAAATTCTAAGAATATAATATAAATGTTAACCAAATTTTATTCATGTTTCAGTTCACTGATAGTGTTTTTTAGAGTTATTACATAGTTATTGGAAGCTATTGTATTTGGCAAGTGAGTATTTCTTCTTGGTTGACTTAAACCTCATACATGGGAATAAATCTATATCAGATAATAATTGTCAATAATATTTATTTGGATAAATAATTATTTATAAAGCATTACTGCTATATTGGAATATTTTATATATTTATCCTTTATTTTGAAAAGCTTTCAAATTTATTGTTTTCTATTTATAAATAACTTAGGATAGTCATAATATAATATCCTGAAAGCTTTAACTCTGCCCAGGGACCATGATGTTAAAAATGTATTTGAAAAATTATCTTTTGATCTTTATACTGTTTTATACTTCTTACCTTTCCCAGGATACGAGATTTCTTTCTTTTGTGCTCTCCTCAGGAAAACCACCCTGAATAATTTAGTAACAGAATGGATTGAGAAGGCACAAAGAAAAAACACACAACACTCACATTTCCCTTTATAATAAATCTAAACTGACTTATGTACACACTGGAGTGTAAGGAAAGAGAGAGAAAAGTCCTTATTCTACTACTGAAGGTCAACTACTTCAAATAATAATAAAATCGTATCCTAAGCTGACAAGGAAATAATTAAGTATTCTCAAGGGCCAAATAATAAATATTTGATTAAAACATAATGTAGTCTTGGAACCTCTCCATTAAGGAACAAGGAAATAACTTGTGATAGTTTCTAGGGGAATTTAAAATTAGATTAAGTCAAAATTCCACTCTACCTGAACATTTTATATTTCTCAAGGTGTATCTTCATTTTAAATATTCACACAATATATTCACTCTGTTCATTTCCATCAACTTCACATAACCCAGGAGTAAAGTGCTCTGTACACCAGCACAAACACAAAGTAACAGCCTCATGCTCAACTTAATGTGAGAATACTACTTAGGATCTGACCCCTAATCGTTTCTGAAGGAACGTTTCTATATTTTTAGATAATGTGTAATCTTTTGTTCCACAACACAGTAATACATAATTACCATTCTTCTTAAAAATTGAGCAGAAATACTTGAAAGTAAATACTCAAATACTGATTTCCAATACATTCACAGGCCTTTACGATTTTAAAAAACACGCCAATGTCCTCTTGTGCGGGATCCCGAGGGGCGCGCGCTCATTTCTGCAATGCCGTTTTAAATACTTACAGATACTCTGGAACTGGCTCTTACTCGAGCAACAAATTCTTTCTCTTTCTCAGCTGCCTGCCTCTGCACTTTCTGAAAGTTTGTCAGTGATGTTGTGAATTCAGCCACTAAGCGGTCCTTCTGTATTTTCCTTTGACGCTAGAGGAAAGAGGAGGGGAAAATCTGCTAGAATCAAGCTCGGAAATTCTACAGAGTTTGCGAAAGTTATTTTGCCAGTAGCTGGCTCTTTACTTAATTCTGAAAATTTCACTCACTCTCCTATTACAGGGCCTTATTAACTCTCAGTAACATTTTGACAATATATTCAGATACTGTGCATAGTTACCTCAAGGTAAAAGGCCCATAATGATGGATTTCTCACCTCAAGTTTTCATCCTAAACACTGGGTCATGATTCTGAGTTTATTTTAAAGGAATCCTTCTATTATTATTATTTTTTAATAAAACCTCTGACTCTTACCTGAGTAATAACTTCCACTAAGTAAGCAAGGTAATAAATATGTGTGCCCTTAGGAAACCCAATTTGAATGAGCAAGCATGCTGCATGAAGTCAGTTCTGGAAGGCCAGGAAACAATTACTCAGGAAGCATTTTCTGAGCACTTACTTAATTATGGGTCAGAGCAACTGCATGGAAATAATTTTTGCTTTATTGAACCACAGGATATTACCTGGGCAATTAAATATATTTTTGTGTTCTGTGAACTAATCTCAAATAGATTTTCCCCCCTAATTTCTTTTCTAGTACAACAGTTCAAAGATCCCATGATGCATCTGATTTCTAGCACGTTTGATACGTCAACGTGTCTGAAAGCGTGATACCTGTTCACTGGGGGTGGTGGGCAGAGATCCAAACTCTTTAATGTACTTATCTGTTTCTTTGGCAAGCTGGTTGGTGTACTGCTGCTTCTGCTGCCTAAAGTGAGAAAACACACATTATAGCCAAAGAACTAATCTATTGCTTTAAGCTACAACTTGATTCAACTCCGATGAATAGTTTTATGAAAATCACTTTTTTACAGACTGGCTCCAAATTTTCTCTATGAAAAGAAAATTTTCAGGTTCTATTCTTTTATAAATATTGAGCAAATATTACATGGAAGCTTCTTTACTCACACCTGAGGGAAACCAAGCTTTGAGAAACAAGTATCTGCAGCTATTTAGAAAGGAAGATGAGTCAAGCCAACACACGACTGTGAGAGGTCTGGTGTGTGAGCTTCTGGGGGTGTGGGAGCCTTTTATGTGCATCCCAGAATCGGGAGATTAGCTGAATAAGTAAAGAGGATTTGTTGCCTTCAACTCTGCCCAGTTCCCAGGTCTCAGGGTACTAGGGCTAGTCCCTTGTATCTCTCTACCTGAACATTTAAATTCTATAAATACTTAAAAAAAAATAAGAGTGGAAGAAGTAATTAGTAACAGTACAAATTTATTATTATTTAAGTCTCCTGCAGGAAGAAAAATAGCATTTCTCTGTAAAAACAGCAGAACACAATAAGGTAAATTATATTGGTATCTGTGTCCTGCTAGCTAGCTTATAAAGTAAAAAGTGAGATCTCTAACTAAAGAAACTGACACACAAAAAAAGCTTATATTAATGCAATGCTTTATAAGTTACAATAGCAATACCTCTCATACATATTATCTCTCATTTTAAACACATATTGGTCTCATTTAGGATCCTTTAGAATAAGATGACACTATATAAGCATATGTTTTAGAATAGATACCTGTATTTGACAGATAAGGAAGAATTATAATCTACTTACATATATTTACCAAGTCCCCTATCTTTAATATGCCTTTTAAAAATTTTTAGAAAAAGTAATATAATTAAAAGTCTAAAAAGACTTTAATAACGTCTATATATTCAGAACCTCCGCTATTAACCTTAGCAAAATATTGTTAACTATTAAGAACTGTGGTTTCTATTCCATTTTACCTTGATTTATTATTTAGACTTGGGGCATTTTTACCACCCTGATATCTATCCACTGCAGAAAAATGCAATATAAATTAGAGATAACTGTAAATTCCTCAAATTGTACCTCACAAAAAATATGGGTTGCTATTACCTGTTAATTTCTTCCTCTTTGAAATTTTCCCTTCTATAGCTAATATTTGGCATATCACTTATTACATGCACATTACTTGAAACCTGTAGCTGTAACAGTGCTGAACTAAGATTTAAGATTCAGGTTCTGAATAACGTTGGGCAAATTATCAAACTCCCAACAGACATGTTTGCCTTATAAGCAAAATGGAAATAGTTCTTTTGATCCATCTAGCTCACTCCAATTTTGTAAGGTTCAGATGAGAAAATGTGTAAAAACACTCTGCAAATCTATACCACAAAGTATTAACACTGTTTTCGTAACACCATATTAATTTACTGAAATACGTACTATATAACTTCATTATTAAAAAAATAAACAGAGGCTAATGCTTTCTGAAATTAAAGGATGTAAATACAAGCTTTTGCGGGGCACAGTTCATATCGGATATGTATTGGCTCTAAACCAAATAAAAATCTGGTCATTGTAAGGACTGTTAGCTATGGGAAGTAACCACACAAATAGACAAGCTTGGAATACCATTTTTCAAAAGCCATTGAAAACAACCTATTAAAAAGTATAAGAAAGGCAATTTAAAAAGTTTTGCTTTGACAGAGTAAGCCAGATCTTAAAAATAAAGAAAAACATCTGCCTACTCTGGACAGAAAAGAAATGTACTAAAAAGTTTAGTACAAGTAAGGCAGCAGAAAAACCCTATTAATTTTCTATTGTTTTCGACAATAAACGTAACACCACGAACTCTCATAGGAATGTAACAGTAGGTGGTTATTCCTCTTTATTTACTTCTTTTTGTTGTTTAATTAAATACTTACAGCTGTTGTCTTAATTCAGGTGAATCCTGAGGTGTTCCAAGTTGATTCAGAGTCCTCTGTATTTCCACAGCTATTACGATAGAAAATAAATGTAGAATTGTTACAAATGTTAAGACAAGAGAAATTAAGTTAGAAATACACGCAATAGGACAGTTAGAAAAAGAAAAACAAAGAGATAAATACAGAAGACATTAGTTGAGAAAAAAAGAAATGGTTTATTCAAATCTAATCAGTGACAATGGATTAACTTTCAAGAGGACTGTCTGGAGACATTAACATCTGAAACTGCAATTTCGATCCAAAAATATTATCTTCTTCCCTATTCCATCGGAGCATTTAGTACAATGGCACATGGACTCTCACATAATTCTACTGATATAAAAATTGGGAGGAAAGTAACTGTTATAATTACATGATTCATTCCTATATAAAGTGAATGAATTATAGTTAATAAAGGAGTACAACAAAATTAGAAAAATTATTTTTTGATTATCTATGTAGTAAGTAATTCAAGCAAGGATTGAAGGACATTAAAACCAAGGGGGTATTCATATGGCCTCAAATTATCACCACATAGATGTCATTAATTTGAGTTAACTTTATCAAAGATAAATTTGTTGCTTAAAACAAATCATCAAATTTAGTGCCACCACTGGTCAAACTGGCATGATAAGTCTCCTGACATGATGCAATAAGAAAGTCACAATATGACCTACATATTTTTCTCACCAAAGTATTTAACCTGAACCTCATCATGAGAAAGAAATCAGACCAATCTAGATTATTGGATAATCTACAAAACAACTAGCCTAGACTTTTAAAAATGTCAATGAGACAAAAGAAAAAAAATATGAAAGCAGAGTTTTTCTAAATTAAAGAACTAAAAAACACAAAATACTAAAACATCCAAAAGCCAACGTATGATTTTTGACTGGATTCTGAATCAGGAAAAAAATACTATAAAAAATTGTGAAGGTAGTTGAGAAACTTGCATTTAAATCGGAAATTTGAATTTGGAAAGATTAAACAAAAGTTGAAAAATGTCAACAACAGGTGAAACCAGCTAAAGAATATATAAAAAGTTCACTGTATTATACTTCTATTTTATTGTAGGTTTAAAATATTTAAAAATCATGCTAACTCATATCCAGAAATCTATGACCACTCCAAAAAAAAAAGCCCTTAACAAAAGGGGAGGTCCTAGTTTTATACACTAATATACAAAAATAAAACGTTAAGTAGAGATAAGTTGAAATCCAGCTCAAAGTAAAGAACTTTCCCATTTCCAAGAACTAAAGAAAAATGATCCATTCTTTTCATTTAAAATAAGTGGTTTATTTATATAGCTTAAATGCTTTTAAACAGTCATTATTTATTTATGGGATCAAGGGAATGACTGTATTCCAAAACACAGGATAACTTTTGTTCACTGAAGATGATGTAATGAATACTGCTTTCAAGTCAAAGATGAAAAATATAAATACTGGAAGAGGAATCATATAGCATATAGCAAGAGCTATCCATTCAGCTAGTTACAAAGGGTTTATTTTTGCATTTTTCTTTTTTTCTTTTTTTTTTTTTTTGGCTGTTAATAGATTTTCTTTTGGGAGGTGAAGAAACTTTGCTGTTTTTAACTTATGGCTGCTTCCAATTAGTTATATATTTCCTTCTCAACCTCAACAGATTTTCTAGGGCCACCTTATAGGGGTTTAAAGCTTTTACTTTCAAAAAAAGTATATAGGTAAGACAAACTGTAGTGTGGGCCTCTATGAGACAGAAGTGGGCACTTATCACATTTTTGGAAGGTTCTTTTTTACAAAGGTCATATTAAGTGAGAAAAAAATAGATTGTACAATAAATAACATGAGGAAAACTGAGTGTTAGACAACTCTATCTGACCTCATGTAGCAAAACAAATCTGTCATAAATTATTTACATATTAAAAATTAAAACCATTAAACTGCTACATAAAACTATAAAAATGTACGTATTACACCATCTTATTTATGATCTTGGCATGAGGTATAAAACACTATCCAAGCATGAAACGAAACTAAAAACCATGAAGGAAAATATGACAAATTGACAAAACATACACAAAATTTTAAAGTGCTTTATGAAAAGTATGTATCTACATTACATATATATATGTGTATGTGTGTGTGTACATGGGAGAAAATACCTGTGGTATATGAGACTTCCCTAATAGAGAAAAAACTCCTATAAACTGGAAATATAAAAGTAGTCTAGTGAAAAATGGGTAAAAGATATCCTCTTACAATTTGTAATAAGCAAATAAAAATATGAGAAACTCAACTTCACTGATAATCACTTTTCATATATCAGACTGGTAAAAATCTGGTAAGAAAAATTCGCAGATAGGAATAGAATTACAATCAAAAGACTTCAAAAAAAGTAAAGACATAGATAAGAAGGAACAATACGCATCATGTATAAAGAATCAGAAATCACTGAAAAAAGGTCAGCCAAGCCAGGACAAAAATGGGCCATGAAGAAGAACTTGAATAATATTCACTGAAAAAATGAAAAGTCTATCAGTCCTGGAAAGGATAAGTAACTTTCACGTACGAATGCTATATAAAATTGGCCATTAAAAAAGAATTAAGTAGACATGCTTCTGATAGGCCTCTGGGAGCCTAAATCCATCAAGTGGTTATTTCGCTAGTTTGGGTAAACAGATAATAGTCAGCAACCCCAGTCTTCACCCTTTCTCCTTGAGCAAGGGCTCATATGTGAAGGAACAGGTAATTGGAAGCCCCTGGGGGCTCTATGCCGCAACAAAACAGAAAACCAGGAGCAACACCTATCTTGTGCACTGCTCGGAAATGCCACAAACACCTGACAGCGTGAGTGGTGAAGCCTCTCCTACTCCCATTTAATTGGTGGGTCTGAAGGATGCCGAAGGCAAACAGTTACCACGGCTAGTGGAAGCTCATTCAAATGGTGACTCCAATTTCAGTGTTCCTCTAAATGTGATCTATTTACTAGAACAGATCATCACACTCCCTGGCACCTTGTATAAACCTGCTGATACAGTAAATATTTTCTTCTCCATCCTGAAAACCAGAAAACATGAGGAGGAATTTGCTCTCAACTGGGTGGATGGCAGTGAGCCTTCACAGTCTTATGTTAGGGTTATACACACTATCTCAGTACTACAAGTTAGTCATCAAGGTTATTGATCATCTCCTCCTATAGGACATGACACTAGTCCAACACACTGCTTACATCTGCTTTCAGGATCTGAAAAGCAAGAAGCAATGCATACTCTTAGTGCCTTGGAAAGAAAGAAGTATGCCGGCAGATAGAAGATAGTTTCTATGAAAATACAGGGCCCTGTTTCCTCAATGAAGAATCTTGGTCTGTTAGTCTGTATGGATCACGGACATACTCCTACAAAGTAAACGACAGACTGTTTTTCTCTGCAGTCACAAATAAAAATAGGGAATGGTGCTTCATGAGACTTCTTAAGTTGCTACAACTCATTTTACTAAAGGCCCCAAAGGTTGTCAGCTCTGGCTTCAACTCCCCAACAGAAAAGGCTATTGGGCTAGTTCAAGTGATGGTACAAGCAACTCTACAACTTGGCTTTAAAGACCCGGGTGATCCAATGGTAACTCAAGTAACTGTGCAACATCTGGATGCTGCATTAAACGAGTCGCAAGTCCTAATAGGAAAAAAGGAGCCCCTGAGAACCTTGGAGCAAAATCATGCTCTCTTTGCAAACCAATGTTATCTTTTGAGGAACAGTTCTGGTCTTGCTACTGAGCCCTGGATAGAAAGTGAACAATGGTATACTAGGTGACCCACTCACCCGAGCTGCCCACTAGGTGTTATGTTATCTTGTTGGTATATCTCTTTCTTGATTTTGTTCTGTATGTTAGTCTGCCTGCCTGTCACCCCAACTCCTACATCACTCGTTCAATGGAATAATAAACCAGCAATTATTTTAAGAATAAAAGCCACATATAGGTTCACCATCATGGACTTCCCCTTTCTCAGACTAACATGATTACTGGCAATGCCATGTACCAGTCTGCAGCAACCGCCATCCAAAGTAAGTATGTGATGTGGCGCACGCTTGGGGGTATCAGCCAATCGCCCAGTGGCAAGGTGACTGCACTCCATGTTGGTGGAAGCAGAATTTTATATTCAGTGAAATAGGACTACAGATTTTGTTATGATTCCTCCTCTACTGCCCTCCTTCCATGGTTCTATCAGCCTCTGAATCCATGCATTAGTAACAATTACACACCAATGCTTCTGATCAAGATATTCAACTTACAGGCAGAAAGTTTAACTGCTGCTCTTCTCACATTAATTTAGAAACAGAATTATGATTACTTTTTCACTGTACTTAATGAACACTTTTGTAGAGAAACTGCTACATCGTCACCTCTATTAAAGAGGTTACTAGGCAGACGGCAAAAGGATGGTGATCTGGAAAAACTGATAATCATTTCTAGTTGCCCCAAGTCATGTCTGTTGGGTTCATTTCATTACTTACCCTGGAGTATTATGAATTTATGGAACAGTCATATTCATTTTTAATTGGCATATGTCCTACTTTAAAGGAAAAAAAAATCCTCATGAAACATGAAAATTAAGGAACAAATCTTTTATATAACCATACAGTTACCTGAAGAAAAACACACCTAATACATGGAGATAGGATTAAATTAAGATGCACCTCTATGAGAATCAATGAACAAATTATGTTTGTATTACCCACAATCTGCAACTATTTGCACTGTCACTTCTAGAAAGGTGACTTAAAAGAACAGATTGCATTTTTTGTAACATAAAGGGAATACTATTAACTACACACCCAAAAAGGTACATCATTTCCTTAAAACCAAAACAGTCCCCTTTCAGGCTCTTCATTATGCGGTGCCGAACACCCATTCTGTTCCATGGGGGTCTGCTGCCATCTAGTGGATGATGTAAGAAAAAATACTTCATAGCAAAGGGTATTTTTTTGTCATAAAACTAGGCAGTAGTTGGTATGGGACTGTAAAAATGCCCACCTGTCAGAGTTCCCTGGTGAAC